AATGGCAGAATTTCTAGAAGATACGAAAGTTCATGAATATGCAGTAGCGTAGCGTAGTGGGGACTGCAGGGGCGGCCCGCCCCCGGGCGGCACTTTTAGGGAGCGGCAAAATTTCACAATAAATAATAATAATATCTTGTAAAAATTTGAACCATTTCATTTCATATTTTTGTCGCACCTACGATTCGGACCGATTGAAATGAGCATGGAATTTTTCATTACTTATTCTGTGTCGAAACTGAATTTTAGTCTTTTAAATTGAGATACCTGAATAAGGGGGCGGCGAAATTTTCCTCCGCCCCAGGCGGGTGGCACCCACGCTACGCCCCTGTGAATATGGACAGTTCAACTACATAGATTATGTCACTAAAGTGTCAATGAAATAAATTGCGATTTCCGACCCCCCGACTTAATTAAACTTATATATAATAAAATCTATTAATTAAAAAAATTAAAAAACTATTGGAGGTCGTTTTTGATATCAGAAACTAGCTTTAAATAACTTTACTGAAGGAAAATCCGTGCACTACAACGTTAGAACGATGAATGAAATTTGATATCAAACTCCCATTAAAAAACAATTAAAAAACAATTAAGCGTGAATCGTGCGTCATTAAAGGTAAATTAAAATCGCGATAAAATTTTTTCGCGCGGGAAAAAAATTTTGAAAAAATTGGAGACTTAAAAACATTCCAAAAATCCAAAAAACAAATTTTTTATGGGTCTAAACGCCCGAGTTTTATGTAACGCTATCTAACTTGCCCGAGATATCTCGGGCTTGGGACTTAAGGCGAAAGTCTGTGTATTATAATTTTGTTACGGTCCGAAATTAAAAATTGAAATAACTTTTAAACTAGTAATCATTTTAATACAGTAGAGTCCCGAAAACTCGGCACTCGATAACCCGGCAGTCTGGATAACTCGGCCACACCCTGGCAGGCCAAAAATCTCTAGTTAATTTTCATTATAGACAACTTTATGTTTCATAAAATATTTTTTGAGGTCTGTCTTGTCGGGTAAATTAATGTACACTGTGTATTTATTAATTTTCATTTTCATGTAGTAAAAGCTCTATGCCTTCATAAAGGATGTACTTTTCCTTTGTTTAAGGGTATTTGGGCAGTTTATTTTCTGTTGTATTCTCAAGCAAACAATACATACAAGTATAGTACAATATTTTCTGAGGAAACACGCATACTTATCCTTTTTTAATTCCATTCCTGATAACCCGGCATTTTTAGAGTTGCCACCTCAGAACTTAGTTTCGCCCGGAGAGGATGATTTAAGAAATAGAAAAAACTCATATGCCTACATATAAAGTTTTTTTATTTATATAAATCCCATAAAACAATTAAGTGTTAATCGTGCGTCATTAAAGGTTGATTAAAATCGCGATAAAATTTTTTCGCGCGGGTAAAAATTTTGAATTAAAAAAACATCCAAAAATAATATGTATATATATTTTTTGAGGGTCCAACAGACCGTTTGTTATGTAATGCTATTTAACCTGTTCAAGTCTAACTCTAACTATAGGGCCTATACTATAACTTATCATTAATCATCAACCAACAAGAACACTGATTATCAAACTATCAGCTATGTACGCTATATCATTTCACTCTTAATTAATTAATAGACATCTCTTGACAGAACAGTCACAAGAAAGAGTACATCTACAGAGCATGCAGCAGCACTGCGCCTATGCCAGTTATAGACGTTATGTTTTTAAGCCAACGACTACCACACTAGTAATTCGGTACACGGGGGAAGAAATATATGCGACGGTTTGCATATAATTTTGTACATATTCATTTCAACTTGCACAACCCGGAGAAATATTAATTAAATCCGGAGCCCGGAGATAACTCACTCAATCCCGGAGTCTCCGGGTCAAACCCGGACAGGTGGCAACCCTAGTCATTTTCACAAACTCGGCCACCCTTCGGTCCACATTAGGCCGAGTTTTCGAGATTCTACTGTATAAAAATTTACTAAAATGTATTAAATTATATTTAAAATCTGTAGATATAAGTAATTTTTATAGCCTTTTTTACCTAAAATAAAAAATAACAGGTGTGTTTATACATTTGTTACAGACCAGAATTCGGTGTATATTTATAGTAACTACAGAAACTTCCTCTAAACTCCACATTTNTGTGAATATTCATCTTCAGAATCAATGGAGCAATTAAGATTTAGTGAATAGTCACTATTATTATTATAACGATGAAAATGTTGTTTTAACGCGCATTTTGGTGTAAAAAATAGGATATTTTTGTTAAATATAAAACTGACAGAATGATAGAAAAGATTGATTTATCGCTTACATTGATAACTATCGGTTATAAATGGAATGATTATTAATTGTATAGTAGATGATAACATAATCGATGATGATTAATCATTATTTCGATTATAAAAATAAAGAAGAGACCTACTTTCTGTTCGTAAAGATAAAGTGCAGCATATACAACGACATATATAGTCATAAAAACTGCTATTTTTGCAGCTGTAATGGATCGTAGACGTCCTCTAGTTACAGTATATCCTTTCCCAATTAGAATGAGTAAGAGTAGGAATATAAGAGTGCTTATAGCTTCTAATAATTTACCTAAAATAAAAAATAGAAATTCATCTTTAATTCTTATTACAGACTAGAATTCGGTGTATATTTATAGTAACTACAGAAACTTCCTCTAAACTCCACATTTTAAACATTTTTTTAGAAATTTAGAAAAAATGTCTAAAAATTTAGAAAAATTTAGAAAAAGGTACTTATGGGTTGAGGACTCCTGTCGGAAATTGCAATTTTTCCGAAAGATTTTTCCGAAATGCAAGTTTTTATTTTTCAATTTTACTAGTCTACTGTTATTTAGTTAATTACATTCAAAAACGCAATTTTAATCGCAATTTCCGGTTAGTTTTAATATTTAACAAATTTCAAAAACTGCTTACTTGAGCAGTAACAACTTAATTTTGTCTTCAAATACTAAAAATAAAAAGAACCATCGGACGAAAAAATTTTTATTAGCCTATTGTTAATGTAAGGTTAACTCTGGTGTAGATTGGGCCTAAAATCCGACTTCTGACGCCAGTGTAAGTTTGCCGACGTTAAGGGGGAATAAAGTCTATCTCGCGTCAGAATGAGCCTAAGGGAAACCGCGTATGTGGGCGGTGGCGATGGAGGCAAATGAAGTACAAGTGTTTTACAAAAAAAAACCCGTTTCTTTGTTCGAATTCATGCTTACATCGATATTGGACAATTCCAAATCTCGGTGCTCCTGTGAACGGCGAAAGTTCGGGTGATCGGTCGCAGCCGGGGCGGACGAGAAGGATCACTGGACGATACAGATGTTCGTTGTTAAGCTGCGGCGTCCTGGGTGATTGGCGGTTGCACAACACAATCTAAATCACAACGGTAGGCTTAAAATGCAAGACTCGCACGAGAAAACCCTCCCTTGTTCGTTCCACGTGCAAAACAACGTGTGTTCAAGATGACATAAACGAAGATTTCTCTGTAAAATAATTAACTCTTTGTGGTTACCCTTAAGACAATGACAAGAAATATGTTTATGAAAAGTGAATGTTTATGAATTTATATAAGTTTAAAACAGGTTAAGTAAAAAGTTGCAATGGAGAATGTTGTTGTTAGAACGAATTTACAAATTGTCTTATCTTTCTTTCTCAATAAATAAACAAATATGGTTAACGACGGAATATCGGAAGTGGCTATTTTGTTTTCGAGATGACGTTTTCGCTTGCTTGCTATGAATACGGGGGCGTAAGGCTACCGTTCACTTGTCAGGACGTCTAATTGGCTCTCAAATTGTCAGGCGAGTGGATAGAGAGAATTTGGGGTCGACGATAAGGTGAAGGGCGTGATCGAGTAAAGGAGTCTACCATATTTATAACAAATAAAATAACAATTTATGAAAAATAAGCAAAATGACAAAAGACTACACAAAGCTCTTTTCTATACCGACCTAGAGATAGTTTTACAGTTCTTTCATATCTCTGTATAGCCGTCCCCTTGACGATTCTGAACGATCCAAGGGTTATAATCCAGTTTCGGCACAAATTACATAAAATCGCGACTTAAGCGGAATTCAGCGGGTTCGGAAGATCGGCGCGATGTCGTCTATCCGGCGTTTGTTAAGATACTCCCCGAGAGGGGGTAAGAACGGTCTTTTATAGGTTTTGTGGGGAATTTCCACCACGTGATCGGATGTTCATGAGTTAAAGGTTATAGGTGATCCTGGGATCTACAACAAATGACGACATTTAGATGCTAACTGTAAACCTTCTTGCAAGACGAGATGCAAGTTCTGCAGAGAACAATGGATGTTGCTAGTTAAGACCGGAAAGTTTACCGGGCAAGATCGTTTTTTCTTTTAGGGCGTTACATAAACGAAAGTTTAATTAATTAACATTTTTGTTAATAAAAGATCGGAATGTTCGTCATAAGAATTCCGGATCTCACACTTGCAAATGATTGGCTGCTTAAAATTTGCAATCGCTTTTCGCTTTTGGTTGTGTGGGTCAATTTTGCTAAGCGAATAAAAATTGCTTTTCGCATTCGCTTTCTCTATTTGCTCAGTGTGAACTAAGCTTAACAAGTGCAGAGATCGTTTCTTTCTTTCCGGCTCCGCCTCAAAGACGACAAAGTTGCGCGATGACCTGAGGAACCCGAGATCGAACCCGAACGGGTTAAAAAAACCCATAAAACTTAGCTTCGTAGTCTGATCGTGTATGTCCCTCATCACGTGGCTACCTCATTGTGACTTAATCGAATTCATAACGGGAGTGTTAAAAAGCCTAATTATTAATTCGCTTTTTAAAGAGTTAATTAAAGAAAGCAATTAAAAATAACAAAGTTTTAATATTAATACTTAAATTATAATGTTATTTAATTTTAAAATATCGACAAATCAATTTAAAGTGAAAAACATTTTTTTTCGTTTGATCTCTCAATCCGGCAACACTTAACGGATTTCATTTTGATTAGCGCATTGAGCTGTTATAGCTTCGTTTCTGGTTTTTTCAGTTTAAAAACCGAAATGGAAACCACTTCTAGTGAATGCAATGCTCGTCCTAAAGTTTACTTTGACATTAAAATCGGAGAAGAGAAAATCGGAAGAATTGTTTTCGAGTTATTCACCGATATAGTACCAAAAACAGCAGAGAACTTCAGAGCTTTGTGCACGGGAGAAAAAGGAACTGGAAGCAAAGGAAAACCACTTCATTATAAAGGTTGCAGCTTTCATAGAATAATCAGGCAGTTTATGATACAAGGAGGCGATTTCACAAATGGCGATGGAGCTGGTGGAGAAAGTATCTATGGTGAGAAATTCGAAGACGAAAACTTCCAACTAAAGCATGATAAGCCTGGACTTTTAAGCATGGCTAATGCCGGACCCAATACTAATGGCTCTCAGTTTTTCATCACAACCGTTCCGACTCCCCATCTGGACGGAAAGCACGTCGTCTTCGGTTGCGTCTATAAAGGGATGAGCGTGGTCAAGGCACTGGAACAGGTCGGCACTGGCCAGAACGATGCTCCGACGGAGCATTGCGTGATAGAAGACTGCGGCCAGTTTGCTCCCGGAGTCTCAGATTTTGGCCTGTGCGAGTGCGATGGCACCGAAGACGTGTATCCGCCTTTTCCGGACGATTCTGACCTGGACTTCACGCAGCTGGATGCTATCGTGCAGATCGCCAACGCCATCAAATCTTCTGGTAATATATACTTCAATAAGGAAGATTTTGTCACTGCCAATTTAAAATATAAAAAGGCACTCAGGTATCTCAACAGATTACACGAAGTTAACGATTTGAAAAAGGAAGAAGAGAAAAAATTGTCTTCGATAGTGTTACCGTGTATACTGAATAGTGCAGCCTGTAAAATTAAACTAAAACGATATGATGCGGCCATCGAAGATTGCAATGAGGCCCTTGACATAGAATCACAGAGTTCCAAAGCCCTGTTTCGACGCGGTCAGGCGTATCACGGCAGTAGGGATTACGAACGAAGTCTGGCAGATCTGCATGAAGCTCTACGATTGACTCCTAACAATAAAGCTATTATTGCAGAAATTACTGCAGTTAAAGGTGAAATACAAGCTTATAAAGCCAAAGAAAAAAAGGCTTATGCAAAGTTATTTGCATAAACATATACATGTTCTTCTAACTCAATTAATGCATTTTTTGAAAAATTTAATCTTTTTAAAATGTCTATTAATTGATATTGTTATAGTAATATTGTGAATATATGCTTTGAAAATTTACACCTGCAAACAATTCGAAAAGATGTATGCAAAGAGAGATGACGGTGACGATAATTAAAACTTGCACGTGTTCCAAATTAGTTGTAAATTTTTTATGTTAAAATTTTATATTGAATGGCACATTGATAGATAAAACTATTTTAAATTATTAGATTTATATTCTAAATATGTAAAAATCAAATGGAACTGATGTAGAATATGAAAATATAAAAGAAAAAATATATATATATTTGTCCTCCTCCAAATATTTTTCAATAGTTTTCATATTGAATATAAAACAATAGATAAATAAAATAGTTTGTGAATGAAGTTAGAGAATGCTTCCAATTTTTTTGTTAATATGCTTATATGTTGCCTGATAAAACTAGCTGCTGTAGGTTGCTACAAGCAATTTCCACTTTAGAAAGAAACAACTATTTGTTTATTTGTAAATATGTTTATATTATTACTAATTTTGAGTAAATGATTATAAAGCATCCAATGATACATTTATTTTCCAGTCTAAAAGTTACAAATTTCCCATTTTTGTGTAGCCATATACAGTGTGGTGCCTCGAATAACGGACTTTCCGTTCGGCAGTTACGTGAGGCGAACAACGGTCTTTCTGCAAACAAGTTCTAATGATGTTTCCACTCTTTTGCCGTTGCCAATGACAATTGGCTATTTTTATAATATGTTAGTATTATTAGAATATATTATTAGTATATCTGAAGTACAGAGCTCCTGTTGGGATTCGGCTTGCTCCCTTGTTTATTACGTACATCACCTCAGTGCAGGGTATTTATATTGAGGCCAACAGGATCAATGACCTCTACAATCACACCCTTGCCCATCATTTCTGACAGGTGTTGAAGAAGAGAGAGAAACTGACCACCTTGGACATGTTTTTCAATAAGTTGCCAAAAAACAAAGGATGGAACAAGAGATGACCCTGCAAGCTCCGGTAGCCTTTCCTGAATCTAACTCCGATTAAAAAATAATAAAAAGAGACCTGCTGCAATGTGTGAAAAGTCTGTATCTGTATGAATGTGTTCCTCCACTTCTCCTCACAACATCTGACTACCCGGCATAATTGGTGACTGCTCCATTTTCATTTTTTTATGGTACAGTACGGTTATTTTATGCTGCGGAACAAATTATATGTTTTAACATATATTTCTATGGGAAAATGCGTTTCGTATAACGGACTTTTCACTTAACGGACGTGCACCTGGAACAGATTAAGTACGTTATACGAGGCACCACTGTATGTTTTGTCTTCAGTATTACCAAATTTTAATTAGCCATAGTGTAATAAAGTGAAAATTGCTAATGTCTTTTAATTCAAAGCTTTGTCGGGCAATATTTAATTTATCTGCAATATAATTTGATTTGTTTTTAATGATGTCAACATTAATGGTTACATGAAAATTGTCTTAAGTAATTTAGTGTTTCCAAAATATCCTTTCTTTCAAATGACAATTTTTGGGTTAACTTTCTGAATGATTTTATCCACAAAATAAAGATTATATCAAAATTTATTTAATGTTTGTTTTTCATAATTAAAATTTATAATAGTTTTTGCATCTTTAAACGTTGTTATTCAGATATATTTTATAGGGAAATTTGATTGTTATGCTTTCCAGCAGCACAGTAATTTTAAGGATAACTTATGTTTATAATATAATTGAAACATTTCATACTTAACTTTTATATATAAACTGTTCTGTCTGTTAAATTTTAGGAGTATGTTTCTGGAAAAACTTATTGTAAATGATTGAAAGTTAATTTGAATTTTACAAAATATGCTACAATTTCCATCTCAAATTGGAATTGGCCTGTAAAACAAAATCAATCACAATTTCATTTTTAAGAGAGACTCAAAAACAATATTTGATTAAAATATTTACAAGAAATGGAAATTTATTAAACTAGTTTTAATTTTGTTTTGAAGTGTACTTGTTGTAAAGTAAACTAAAATGTATGAAAAAATATTTTTACATTATGCAAAAACCACATATAAATTAGAAAAGTTTATAAAATACCTATCTAAATTATTTTCCCGTAACTGTTAATACAGAGGATAGCAAGTAATTGTTTACATGTTTATCTGTTGGATGATCTCATTGTGTTTTAGAATTTGTGTACACATGTGATAAAATTCACAATTATAAAATTTAAAACATTTTATTAAAATATATATCNCCTTGACGGGAGGTGCGTCGGACTACTGAGCATGTCGGATTAAAAAACGTCGGACTATAGAGGGACAACTGTAATTTACGTCAACTAGAGTTCCAAGCCACAGTAAATATCATTATTTGGCAAATTTATTAAGTAAAAAAACGTTAAAAAATTGACGCAATTTCCTACTATATTTAATTGAAATTAACGTTATTAAAATGTGTAAAATATAACGATTAAATATCAATTTTCTAATTTTTGGCTAGATCAGCTACCGATCGTATATCAGCTACTAATTCTGCTCATTGCAACAAATGACTTTTGTTTGATAGGCGCCTATTTGCTTCTCAACAGACAAATACGATACAAGACGTTTTGGATGCTGCAGTCGTAAATCTTCTGTAGAAACCGCATTTCATTGAAAAGAAACTATCTCCATACATTCACTTTATTTATTATTTTTAAATTTTACATATCTTCAACACTCCATTTATACGCAAGTTCTTCAAAAGCCTTTCTCTGTGCAATATTATCGAAATATTTCTTCTCAAAACCGTTTGATCGATCTACGCCGTCCCATCTATGACCAGGATTAATATTGAATCTGTTAGGTGGTGCGGGTGGACCTTTATAAGCTTGAACATTTTCTGAAAACAAAAATAAACATTATTTTACCAAGCAATTCTTCCAAATTTTTAAAACGTATTTTTTTATTTTGTTAAATTTTACAAAGGAAACTGATCTCTGTACATGCTATTGTAAATATTTTGAAAACAACCATGAAAATATCAAAAAAGAATTTAAAAGTACATCAAACTTAAGATATAATCTGATTAATTTTTATCAAGGGCATATTTCAATATATTACATATTACAGTTTAATTTTCTATAACCAAACATGTAAAAGTAAATTATCTGTATATTCTATTTTAAGTATTATAAAACAAATTTTTTACTTCTGTAAATTTATGCTTGTAACTTCTAAATAATCTTTTCATAGATTGCATCAAATAATCGATTAGTTAACTTCATAAATTTAACTAATTTATTATTATAAGTAGACATTATTATTATTATAAGTAGACATTAATCATTATTATAAGTAGACATGTTCAATGTTAATTTTATTAATTACTTAATAAAATTTAAGATGTAATAATTAAATATAGAATGATCTTCAAACAAGAATATAAAACTACATGAATATATTACTTATGAATATGTAAATATAAAACTATATGAATATATTCAAATATTTTGAAAGTTGAATTCTGTTTACATCTGTCTAAATTTATAAGTTACCATTGCTTTCTGATGTTACTCATTCTATTACAGCCATAACCTTTTCTAACATATATTCTCGAATGGCCAATGGCCAAGGTGGTTAAGGCATCGGCCTGCCACTCCAAAAGACTCAATCAAATCTAGGCAGTCAAAACATCCAAGAATTTTTTGAGAATTGTTCCTTCCTCATCACCCAGTCATTCTTCATTGTGGGCCTGGCCAAACCCACAAGGATAGACATGACTAAAAACATGCTCTTAGTGCCCACTTGGAGGAAAGAATAATAATAATAATTATATAGTGTGTGATTTTAAAATATGGATAAGATCTTTGTTTTTAATATTTTTCAATTAAAAGAGCTTTTTAGGATTTTAAATCTAATTTAAAATAGCATTTAATTTTTTTGGAATAATGCCAAGATGAAACTATACTGATTAAACTTTGAAAATATTAGTTCCAGTATTATTGAACAGACTTCAAAATTACACATAAGGTTCCAAAAATAATAACTGAATAATAATACATGCAACTTGATTTATTTATTTATGATATAGTCTTTTGTAAGTTAAAATATCATTTTACAACTGATATTTTACAACAGAATTAAACTTAATAATATAGATTAATTATACAGAAATTACGAAATACAAAATTTTTTTGTTACTTTCAATTTTATCCATATTCATAATCAAGGATCTAGAGCAGTGATTCTTAACTGGTGTTCTACAAACTTTCCTCTGGTGATCAATGAAAATATTTTTAATGTTTTATGCAAAATTTATTCTAATATACAAGCGTCTCCTCCTAGCATTGAAATCCTGCTTCTATGCAGGGTCCACTTTCTTGCATGCCCTTCTCCATTTGGTACAGTCCAATGCGTTTATTGGGGTGATGTTCGCCCTTTTTATGTCATCTTGCAGTTGGTCCATCCACCTCATTTTGGGGTGCCCTCAGAGTCGACATCCAGGTGGGCTGAGATGTAATGCTGTCTTCGCCACTGAGTGTTCATCACTACACATAATATTAATATGTCCATATCATCTGAGTCTTGCTTCCCGCATCTTTTCAGATATTGGGGCCACTTTCATGATCTTTTGGATGTCTTCATTCGAGATATGGTCAAGTCAGATAAAGCTGAGGCACCAGCAAAGCATCTTCATTTCCATGGTATGGAGAATTTGTTCATGGCGGGTACTTGATGGCCAACAGATTTGTAGACTTTTGCCTTCAACCTGATCTGCATTCGGCTGTCACAGAGGATACCAGTGCACTGCCGCCACTTTAGCCAGGCTGCATTGGCCTGCACCTTTGCATCCAGAATGGTTTCATCATCATTGCTGATGAGTGAGCCAAGGTATTTGAAGAGTGGGCTTCTTGAGATCTTGTCCCTTAATGTTAATCAGACCTTAATCTAATATACAATATATTACTTTATTCATAGACACTTTCATTGTTCTATTTTATTCAGTACAATCAAGCTAATTAGTTTATTGCTTCATTTTTCACGAGAATAGTAAACATGGAATTGCTTAATGAGTTTCAAATATATTGATGCTAATGATTCTTCTAATAAAAAGCATATGACCATATCCTTGTAATAAAACATATGGTGTTCCATGGTTTCAGAAAGGTTGAGAACCAAATTTAGAGTAAAAATAAGTAATCAAGTGCTAAAAGTAAAGTGATCCTCTAACTCTTAATCTTCAGTTGTGAATAAGACTACAAGATGAAAAGTACTCATGATAAGTACTTCGAAACAAAAAAACTACTTTTTATTTGTTTTTCCAAACAAAAGCATTTGGAAAAACGAATAAAAAGGCTGCATTTTAAAGGTTTTTGTTTCAAGGTGAGTTGTATTTAAGTGTAGTTACAGAAGAGTGTAAATATGGCAAGTTAAGTACTGGTAACACATTACAAATATTGAAAATATGCACAACTTTAAATATGTCTTATCCAAATTACTAAAATATGGCAAATATCCCAAATGGATTATCAAACTACATAACTTTTTGTCTAAATTTTGGCTGAAATTGCATTAGTTCATAGTTAACAAAGTAGGAATGAATAATGAAAACATTCATGTATCGATAGGTAATAATCCATACAAAAAAACAGTTTTCTTATGATAATGGAAACTGTAAAAAAATATAATCCTGTACCATCAAAAGAATCCAAATAGAATTACATAAATAATTGTAAAAAATACATGATTTTACACAATTTCAATAATTCCATTTTATAAGTTGTTATTGTTTAAAAAACTTGTCATTAAATAATATAAAACTTTTTTATTCCATTATTGTTGAAATTATCTACAGTACAGAAAAAATTATTAATAAATTTAACAATGAGTTAAAAATTTATCGTATATACTAATCTGAAATGAATGTTGTTACTGTTCTAAATGTACTTAATACAATAATGTTGAAATAAATTTTTTTCATTCCTGTAAAATTTTTTAATATAATAATATTTTTTTTGTCTTTGTGTATAATTTTAAATAAGCATTAAAAAGATTTTTATAAATAGGTCTGTTTAATTAAACATTTCATATAATTAACTACACATTATTCAGAATATATTAGCTTATGTAACATTTTTTAAAAAACATGTTTAAATTAACACATTATCCACCACAAGATATTACACGTGTGACTCACCAAAAGTTTTCTCTGCTGCTTCAAAGTACAAGGTCTGTGCCTTGACAATTGATTACACAATATACTCCATGGAGTACCAATAGTACTTCAAAGCATTTCTGTAAATTTATGGTACACAAAACTTCTGATTATCCATGTGCACATTTCTATTTGTGCATTGTCAAAATATTAGAATTACTGTAAAATCACAATGTATCATAAGCAACATTTCAATCTTCACTTAGCACATTCCTCCCTCAACTGTCAATTCTAAAAAGCAAAAGTGAGGTAAGTCATTACTATTTTTTTGTAATGACTTACAAAAATTTTTACAGTAGATAAAGTTGATGCTATAAACAGTAATTTAAAAAAAATACACTGGTAGCTCAGGATACAAACGCCCCAGCATACGAAATTTTCAAGATACAACATGAAATTTGAACATATTTTTGCTCCATGATATGAACAAAAACTCACCATACGATGTACATTAGTTCGCAATGCCATTTTCTATTCACTTCTGTTCATTGGTCTCAGTCTGTGTGTTTACTTCATCGTGGAAGGATCTCGCTCGATAAAGGAAATCTTGAGGTATTATCAGAAAGTGACTTATTTTATTGAAAAGAAACATCCCAAAAAGGTTCACACTGGCCGTATTGCTGCTCAGAGTAATGACATTTGCCTAAGTCATTTTAGAAACATTTTAAAAAGTAGACAAAGCCAAACCTCTTTGGATAGATATTTTACCAAGTGACCTCTATCAGTGAAAGTGCTGGTGGAAGTGAAGGAAAGAAAGCAAAAAGCAGTGAATAAAAAATAAAAAAAATATATAAACACTAATTTTTTAACTTTTCTGTTTAAGTTATTGTTACATTATGTTATGTAAGTTAAGTTTTAGTATCATTTCCCTTCTCCCTCTCCTCTGCCACCAGTTTACACCTCCACCAACATCTATCCTCAAAGGTAAAGTGCAAATAAAACTACATTTTTTTTATCAATTATTATTCTATTGTTGTTATTTATACATTTACAACTACAAAACGCATTTTTCAGTGATTTCCTTACTATAGTTATTTTTTTTAATATACTACGTAGCTTTAATTTGAGTGTATTTTTCATGTTGAAATGAATTATTTGGTTTTACATGTAATCGTATGAAGAAAAATGATTCACCTTATGACATTTTCATGATACGATCTCAGTTTCGGAAAGGATTAATTTCATATCCTGAGGTACCACTGTATATCCTACTAGCCCTAAAATTAAAACTCACAGTAATTTTAAAAAATCTAATAATTATACATAGAAATGTTATGTTTATTGACTAAATATGCATTTCAGCTTAAGAAACTTAGGACTCACACTTGCTTTGAATTATAACTCAGTTAAACTGTATATATACAGTACTTCATTTAAAACCTATGAGCAGGGGTGTCCAACCTTTTTGTTTCTCTGGGCCACATTGGAAGAAGTCGAGGAGTTTGGGCCACAAGTATATATAATATATATTTGTGGCCCAATATACAAGTACATTTAAGGATTAACACGTCTAGATTATAATAATAAGTATTAAATCTTTATCACGAAAAAGGATATTTTAAAAAATTATTTCTACAGACTCTTTCAATTTTTACTTAGAAATAGATAAATTCATTTATTATAAAAGAGACAAATGAAAATTTATTTGAAAAACAAATATTTGTTTTATTTGGGTCTCTATTTAATAAAAAGTGATGAAACACCAAGTGCATTTTTATTCAACAAATATATTTATAAATAATATGTAGCCCAAGAAGTAGCCAATGCACAAATGATAATTTCTATGTCAAACAAAAAAAAAAAGTAGCCACATTTGGCGCAATGTAGCCAAATCTTGCAACGTTGGAAGAAATACTAAATAAAGCTGGAGTTGTGACTCAAAGGATTATAGACCCAAATGCAGGGAAAGGAAAGGAGAAAAGATAAAGAAAATTAAGGGTCAATATTTGCAAAACAGAAGATCTATTTAACCTTTCTCAGTATTTTTCATCTTTTGTCCTTTTTCTCCTTTCCCCAAATTTGGGTCCATACTCCTTTGAGTCACAACTTCAGCTTTATTTAGTAATCCTTCCTCATTCACACATCTCCAAGTATTTGAAAATATTTCTTTTCCACTCAAAAATAAAATATGAATAAAGGTTTATGACTTTGTGAAACTTCATTTTTGAGTTTATGCAGTTGAAATAAATAAATAATGAAAAAATTAAAACATTTGTCGGTCTTATTTACATGTTTATTGGGTCACGGGTTGGACACCCCTGGTTTAGAGGGATATTTCAAATTATCCATGATTTCCATGAATATCCAAATAATTGGGAATTTGATGTACTTTAACTTTTCTTAGCATAGCAAACCAAAACTTATTTTTAGCATATGATTTTTTAATTTTTTTATGTTTATGCAATGTATATGTATATTGACTGTACATGTAAATTCATTCATCTAAGTCTTGAGGCATATATATTGTACCTTGGATAAAACTTTCAAAACTAGCAAAGATATTTTTTTTAAAAAACCAACTCAATGAGTAAATTTGAATTTTCTGAAATGAAAAGAACATAAATCTATAGAACAAAGAGAATGGCCCAGGAGGCATGAAAATTATTTCAATGGTGGCAGTTAACATATTAAAGTAACAGAAACCTAAACATTCATTGATTAAATAATATGAAACATACCAGTAGTTTCATCTTGATTCTTTAAATTTTTTTTCCTGATGTAGGCCAACATTGGATCACCTTCCCTTAATTGACTTTTCAGATGATCTTCAAGTTCGGGATCATCTTTGTATCGTGCAAAAGGTGTTTCTTTAAACTCTGGTTCTGCATTATCTTCAATGCTATAATAAAAAACAATGGTTCAAAAATTATTCATTTCTTTAAAAATTATCAAGGGTAGTACAGTAGCACTGCACCTTAATATGATTAATCTTCACTTAGCACACTAACAAAAATTTCCAATCCAAATTATTCAAACCCTAAAAGTCAAACTTTGACCAAGTAACTTTTGTTAGAATCATCTTTCCAACATCTACACAACTCTAGTGATAAAAACTTACTTTATGTACCATAACTCCTTAATTTACACATAGCATGCATTTAAAAAAATGGCAAAATGTCACTATCATAGTCCAAACCATTGCTGATTAGACTGATCTCAAAAAAAGTGCAAGAAGCTAAATCAAATGATGTCATTCCTCAGATGTTGATTCTCTTCAGTAGTGCTAGAGATATTCGCATATTTATTAAACAAATCAAAATCTTTTAAAAATTTTGCCCACCAGTGGCCAAGCGGTTTTCATTCCCTGAACACTGGGAGTTCAGTCATGGGTTCACGCCTCACTTGGACAGGCTGGCTACATGGAGTTTTCCAAGTTTTCTCCACGTCTGTAATGCCTAAATAGGGGCCAGTTTCCCTTAAAAACACGTCCCAGAAGGCATCCTCCCTAGGCAGATCATGTTGTGTTGCATTGCCATAACTAAACATACAAACTTTTAAAAATTTTTGTCACAGTTTAGTATCCTTTACCTCAAACTTATGCAATCATGTTATAAACTTGGTCCAAACATAATTTTATAACGGCATAAGATCACAAATCTCAATCTTATATCTAATTTTAGACAGTTAAAGTTCAAAATTTAACAAAATGAATTTGTTAATAGTGAAATACAATAATTATGACACAAAATTTACAACAGTTTATAATTAACAATTTTCCTTTAAAGTTTAATTAACAGTAACGTATAGAGTGATAGAACAATAAATGCAAATAAAATTTTTACTTGGTTCCAAACAAAATGAATTATTTTAGAAAGCAAAAGAATTTAACAAACTTTTATCCAACAGAAAAATGCTTCTTAACTTCTAACTTACAATTGTAACTTTCTGAAAATCAATCACATATTCATTGAAATGCTCTATCAAGTTTTAGAAGTTTCAAGTTTTTATCTTTAATGATGACTATTGAGCTGGACCCTAAAATGTTACATGACATCCTTTTTATATACAATAGTTTCAAGAAGTACTTTTTTAAAAACTAAATGAAAACACATATTGCCACTTAGGATAGATCTTCAATACACAGGTATCCCTTGATTAATGTGGTTAATTAATCCCTCAATGCTACTGTGTATATCAAAGATACCATATGTGATTAACACAATTATATTAAGTAAAGACAGCTGGCAAAGCCCATGTTAATTAAAACTTCTGCCACATATATAAATAGGTTGCTGTAATTAATTTTGTGCATTAATCAAATCCTCCATTAAGCAAGGGGTTTGATTAACTGGGCTAGAGCTGCTAGAAATAGTTCTGGAACTTGGAGTTTGAAATGGCTTTTAGAGTTCTTATCACATTTTTTTTCTATGGCTTCTGTCTTTGAAACCTTTTTCCTTCAACACAGTTTTCAATTCCAGAAAAAGGAACAAGTAAGAGGAACCCAAACATGGCAAATGCAGAGGATATTTGACCAATAGGACATTGTGTTCAGCCAAGTACTGGTTTATAGTCAGTGTCATAACATGACACATTGTATTAAAGAAACGATGACTTGAACTGCCATTTTTTTGGATGCCTTCAGCAGTTTGTGGACTTCTGACCATTTTCCTCACAAAAAATTTCATTGCAACATTGCTCCTGTAGGTCCAACAGTTTGGAATGCAACACTGGCACTAGAGATGGTCTCTCTTTTTCCTGTCTCTCTGCCACCACACACAAACCACTAAGATAACATCTAATATGCAAACACCCTAATGGCTAGTCTATTACTGGGGTACAACATCTATCCACTAGAACTTTTCATTTTTCGTAAAAAAATAATTCTCATAATTATTGATTACATCTTCTACATTCAATACTGAAGCACAGCAACCAATGATTGGTTACAATGTTTGCCACTCTAGCCACCTTGAAAAGCTTTACACAATGAATATTTATTGAAGCTCTCTCATTTAGTGGTTGCAAAGTTATAAGTGTTTATTTGCTTAAAAAAACAGAAATTTTTTTAAACATTTACCTTATTTACAATGATTTTTTCTCTACCCTATCATAAAAAAATAATCATTGATGCCACAGTGATGAAATTGTAAAAATGATGGCAGGACCTTTCTAGATGATATTTTTTTGTATTGTGATATTGATTGGTCTAGATTCCTTAGTTGCAGACTTTAATTTAAAAACAGTAATATTTGGAAAAATGCATATTGTGAATAGCTCATTTTTGAGCAAATATAAATTTTACCAAGCTGCAATATAACTCATTTAAAAGAGCACTAAATTGAGCAATTTAATGTAAGACGATAAATTAAGACTCTACAACCAATAAATGGTGTGAAGTATGGCTAAGCAATAAATAACAAACTTTTCATAACCTCTTCTGGGTTCTTCGTTGCGTTTTCTTAATTCTAAATAAGCTGGATCTTCAAAATCATTCAAGAATATAAAATTCAAATATAAAATCAAACAGTAGATGAAGAGTTCAAATAAAGAGAATTTCTGTGCATGTGTTCACTGTGTCACATCAAACACTAAATATTGCTGTCAAGTAAAGCATGCCACACCATTGATAGACACATCTCTTCCTTAAAATTAATGCACATGGATTTGCATTAAGCCTTAAAAATCTCAACAGCCTCTAACCACTTGTTCTGTGTGACACATAAATTTTAAAGAGACCGCTAGGGGTCGGAAGTGTTAAGTGGTGTTGTACATGTGCTCCGTGTTTAATTGCGATTTCTTGGACATAAAGTGTATTATGAAGGTGTAAATTATTTATCGCTAAATTCAGGAGGACAAGCGCTCTCGGTTAGTATTGTTATTTTTATATTCGGTGGACTTTCGTTCGAGTTTTCGAGGCCCGAAATTTCGGTTTTGGGCAAGTTCTCCAACGTGTTTAGCTCTTTATTTCGTTCTTTTGTCTGCGGGTATAGACTCTTTGAATTGTTATTATAATTATAAATATAATTATTTTGACGGTGAGATACTCATCAACTGCGGAAACACGACTCGTTTCCTTATATCGCAGTGGCCACGACTCGTTTCCATATATCGCAGTGACCTTTTCACTCTGAACAAAGGGCTTTGTTCCCTACCACGTGGTGGAGGTAGCCACTCGGCGTACTGTGTACTGTTGCTATTCCGTTGGGGACTTTTTGTTTTGACTTATTGCATCGGTTAAGTGGCTTGGACTATACACATTGTTCAGTACTGCTTGTATCTTCAATATGGAAGGTGTTACCGTACCTCGGGACGATGTCAATTCCCTCGAGGAAACTATTCTCGCAGAGGCCAATGAGCACTTTGTCAGAATTCTAGACCTAGTGCCAGAGTCTTATAAATCGAATATATCCACTAAGGAGCGCAAGGAAGTTCGGGAAAGGCTTACTTGCCTTTTCTCTTGCCTTGGTCAATTCCAAGGCATCCTGCGTGAGGTCAGATCCAACCACCCCAAGTGTTCTCCGCCAACAGCCCAGGCTGTTCCGGCTACCACGTATGCAGACATCACCCGGCTGAATATGAAACCTACCTCAACAACCAGGACAATAAACAAATCTCTCCGAAACAAACTAGAAAATGAAGGCTCTGGCGGAAGCTTTGCTCTTCTCCTGTACCCAAAAACTGACGAGGAGGGCGGCAATTCCACTACTAACATGCAACTCATTGAAAGTGAAATTATGAAAAAAATAAAACCACATGAGCTCAAAGTGAAAGTTAAAGCAGTGAGAAAAGTAAAGGGGGATGGCATTTGTTTCAGAACAAATAGCCACAAGGAGGCCGAAGTCTTAGCGGAAGCCATTGAAAAGCTTCCAGAAATTCAAAGTAAAATCAAAAGCAAGATATCTGAGGGAAGGAGACCCAGAGTAATTCTTAACAACGTACCCATCACTGTTGACAAGGCTGAAATTCTCCCCATAATGTACGAACAAAATGACTTTCTACACACTACCACCAAAGAGGAGTTTCTTGACAATACAAGGGTAAGCACAATCCTGCACAGAAACAGTACTAAAGAAAACTGCAGGCACATCGTCTTGTCTACAACACCTAGGCTACGTGACTCCCTGATACGTACTAAACATATAGCTATCCAATGGGCCAATATTTTTGTTAATGATTATATCCCACTGGTGCGATGCTTCCAGTGTTGCGGGTATAATCATATTTCGGCCAACTGCCCAAACAAGCAGAGGTGCAGCCACTGTGCCAAGGGACACAGGTTTGGGGAATGTAAGAGGCTTGACCACACCCCTTGTTGCACCAACTGCAAGGAGGCCAATAAAGATATTCCAGTTCAAGACAGATATACCACAGACCACAATGCCTTTAACCCTCGCTGTCCAATTACAATAAGAATGAAGACCCAGACTATAAAACAGACCAACTATGGATTGTAACCAGCCACTACATACTACGAGGTCACCTAATTCTTCTTGTTTGTCCACTACCGCTCATAACCTAATTACAACTCATGCTTCTAACCGTAACAGCCATACCAAAAGGAATATATCAATTCTACAGATTAACTTACAGCGGGCCAAGGCCCCTTCCTCCCTATTAAATAAAACAGCCGAAGATTGGAATTCTGATCTCATTGTGGTCCAAGAACCTTACCTCTTCAAAGGCGAGCTCACCAGTTACTCTGGCATGACATCTTTCCCACCCAGGGGATCTAAGAGCAATTTTAAAACGGCAATTTTGGTTAGGAATAAACACCTTTCTGTTCAGTATTTGCCGCACCTCTCCACTACTTATGTCACCACCTGCTCTATCATAATTAACCATGGAAGCATATTTATCTCCTCAATCTATTGCTCACCGTACCAGGACATCGAGCCTATGTTAGATGACCTGGATCAGATCAGTAAGACAGTCGCTGATAGACCTTGGCTGATTTGTGGGGACACAAATGCCAAATCGTTCTTATGGCACAGCCCAGTCGAAGACAGCAGGGGTTTTCGTATGCAAGAGTTTGTAGCAACTCTGTACTTGACCTCATGTAACACCAGCCCCCTCGCCACATTCTATTCCACAAGAGGTGAAAGCTGGATTGATGTTACCCTGGCAAATATTCATATGGCACCAAATGTTTCCTACTGCTCAACGATGACCGAGCCGAGTGCCAGTGACCATAGGTACATCAAGATCGAGCTACAGTTTGATATTGTGAATACTGTCAACACCACCATGTACCACCACACCAACTGGACTTCCTTCCAACAACTTATTCAAGACAACTGGAACTTTAATATGCCTATTATTCAAATGGACGAAAGGGACATCGACAACTGCATCCAGAACCTCACTAACCTTATACTAAACTGTTACCAACTGGCCAGCAAGAAGAGGACCAAAACAAAGACCAATGCCCCATGGTGGGATGGGGAACTAGCGAGGCACCGTAAGCATGTCCGTACTCTCCGAAAACGCTATCAAAACCAGACGGACGAGCAAATCAGGCTCACCCAGAAGGCCGAATACACATCCAACTTTAATAATTACAAAACCCTAATTAATAAAAAGAGACATCAAGCCTGGAGGCAATACTGCAGTCGGTTTAACGAACCTTGGGGTGACCCATACTATATTGCCTTCAAAAGGAGAGACAAGGTAGATATTCCTATGGCTGTTAAGACTAACGAGGGATCCTATACCAATTCCCTGGAGAATACTCTAAAGGAATTGTTTGAGTATCACTTTCCTCTCGATGACCCTGAGGACGACACCGTGGACCAAACAGAGACCCGTAACAGCACGATTGAACCAACCAACCAGGAAGATGATCGACCCTTTACTTACAGAGAAGTCAATCATGCAATTAACCTTATCAACAACAAAAAGGCACCTGGTATGGATCACATCACTGGAAAAATGGTCAAAGAGGTGTTCCTCGCCATTCCAACAACATTCGTCACACTATACAACCGATGCCTAACTTTGGGTTATTTCCCTCGTTATTGGAAATGTGCATCAGTAAAATTTATTAGGAAACGCCAGAATGAAATCCCACAGTTTGCGAAAGACTATAGGCCTATCAGCCTGCTCCCAATCATGGGCAAGGTTTTAGATAGGCTAGTTATTACCAGGATCCTATCCTACCTAAGAAGAAAGAATGCCCTTAGCCATCATCAACATGGCTTTACTCCTGGGAAGTCCACCACTACGGCTCTCACCAAGATCACAGAGTACATCACCCAGGCTAAAGCTGAAAGGAAGCACACGCTGTTAGTCTCGATCGACTTCCGTGGAGCCTTCGACAACCTCTGGTGGCCCACAATCCTGCAACAGCTCCAGGTTCACCACTGTCCTCGAAACTTATTCCATCTGATCAAAAGCTTTATCAACGACAGGAAGGCTGGCCTTTTTGTGAACAACATTAGTCACTGCCATCATGTCACCAAGGGCTGTCCACAGGGGTCAATCTCCGGTCCGGGCCTATGGACTATCGTCCACAGCGATCTGCTATCTAATATTAATAATGATAATGACAACAACCATCTTATCCAAGGCTATGCTGATGACACAGTTATTCTTGTCTCTGACAAGAACTCTGGCAATTTACCCATCCTCAGTAATAATCTCCTAACAAAGGTCTTCAGCTGGAGCGACAAAAACAAGCTCCCCATCAATTATTCGAAGTGCTGCTATATAATTTTTTCTAAAAACACTCCGCTACAGAGAAGCCCACGCATTGAGATCAATGGTGTCAAAATCTCCCGTGTCAAGGAATTTATATACCTAGGTGTTAAACTCGAGCAACAACTACAATGGTCCAGCCACATTGACATGGTGGTCTCGAAAGCAACTAAGGCATCAAACGCCCTTTTTTCTATCGCTAAGAATACCTGGGGCATTGGATACAAAGCAGCCAAATACATTTATCTAGGAGCAATTGAACCTATTTTGCTCTATGCGGCTCCGATCTGGGCGGAGGCTGCACAGAAGGTTCACATTCAAAGGAAGCTTTCTAAGGCCCAGCGCATTGCAGCTCTTAGGATCTGCAGGGCTTACCGGACGGCCCCGACCTCTGCCCTTCTGGTCATTGCTGGTCTGCTTCCTGTCCACATAAAAGCCAAAATGGCAGCCAGGATCTGGAACATTAACAACTTAGGCACCAGCAACTACCTCTGCAACACCAATAAGAATAATACTATGCTTTCTGATCTCCCTGAGCAAGTAAAGGAAGATATCAAATCCTACGGTATTGAGGTGAAGGATGCTAACTCTAATATGACGGTAGGCTACCCTACCATCAGTAGTTACACCCTTCCTCATGATGATACCTGTGACATCTCCATCTACACCGATGGGTCCAAGAACAACGAGAATGTGGGGGCAGCGTTTGTTCTTATTAACCATCAAAACGGCGACACTCATAAGTCTGCCTTCAAATTAGGTCCTCATTGTTCCGTCCCCCAAGCGGAAATACTTGCTATTACTAAGGCAATCGACTACGTTTTCACCGATTGGTTCCCCCGTAACAAAACCATCATCGTTTATACCGATAGCATCACTGCCATCCACTACATTACTGGCCTCCGACGCAGAGGCGATAACGTTCTTCGAATCCACCGTCATCTTGCCTCTAATACGCACAACCACAATGTACATTTTAAATGGGTACGTGGCCACTCGGGTGTAGCAGGCAACGAAGCCGCCGACAGCCTCGCTAAATCCGCCGCAGCCTCCTCCCTCCCGTCTAGCTACGACAAAATCCCACCTTCTAAAATTAAGTACTGGAACTTCCAGCTTGCAATCCACCAATGGCAACAGGAATGGGATAGCAGCATCACCGGCAGGACGACTTTCAACTTCATCCCTAACATCACCCAGCGCCTTCAGTGGAGACACTTCTCTCCTTCTTTCGCTATGACCCAGTTGCTTACTGGTCACGGCAACTTCAAGGCATACTTAAAAAGATTTCATATTCTAGAAGACAACATCTGTCAGTGTGATGGCACTTCCATCCAGGACAGCAGTCACTTCCTCTTTGACTGTACGCTGTTCAACCAGAACCGTGACATTCTTATTGGCAGTGTACTCTATGCTGGCTTCAACTGGCCCTGTCCTTTTAACGTCTTCCTTGAAAACAAGGACATTTATTATAAGCTAGCAGACTTCCTCTCAGCGACGGCAGCACTGAATCCAGCGAGCAGTCTACACATCGCAAACAACAGTGTTCGAAATCCTGATTGAGTGGACTTCTCTTCAAAAGTGTTTCTTCATTGTACCCAGGAACTGTTACCTTGTGATTTTCACTTCCTTTGTGGCTTTCTGTATCATAGTGTTATGCTACTGATCGCTACGCTACATGCTACTGTTTTATCTGTTTTACTGCTTTGCTTGTTCTCCCCACCGCTTGTCAGGCAGTTGTCCTCATTATTTGTCTGTTTTTTTTTTTTTTTTTACTCTGGTTTATTTGTAAATAAATGTGATGCGTGTGCTGTGGGATCCCACCTCTTCCTCCCTCTTCCTGCCCCCACTTTCATCCCCTATCCTTCGCATTTCTCCTTCTTCCTTCATTTCTTTTCCCCTCCTGGTCGTACCTATGAGTGATACCAGGAGCTCCCCACTTTTCATAAATAGAAATAGAAATACTTGTTCTGTGTGTGGGGTAGTAAGGATGATTTGGGCATTGGGGAAGTCTGCCGTAATATCAGGGTCTGTTGTGTATGTGGAGAGTGCCATGGTACTCTCCTACTATGCTGTATATGCGACTTAAACAAACATTTTCTGACACGCATTGAATGTTTAATAGACCAATGTACACCATTTCCAGTACACCAGTATTTCACACTGGTTATTAGTTGTAGAGAGTCTTATTTTATTATTATCCCAGTGTGGTATGCAGATATGTATTCATGTAAAACACATACTTGTATGACATTAAATTTGAATTTGAGCAAAGTGCAAGTGTAAAAGGAATATCACTAGTTTATTGAAAAATTACTCAAGCAAAAACACAAGAATATTCTTTAATAGAAAAAGATGTAAAGGTTTGGGATGAATAGTTTTCACACAAATGAGTGTCTAAGAGTTGATGATGTCAGTCTTTTATGTCATTTAAGTCTTGTATGTTGTGTAGGTTGTTAAATAAAATTTTTATTTCTTCACATTCATTTTTAACAGTTAAACCTACAGAGACTTTGTTTTTGCTAAACAAGAAATAATGTCATCTTTTTTAATCTCTTGTTTTATAAGATTTAAACTTAAGAAATAATAATTCTAATAATAATGATAATGATATGATAAAATAAAATAATTTTGTTATAAAGAAAAACAAACTAAAATTGCAAAGGGTTAAACATACATTGTGTAACTCCAGTGCCTACCATCTTATCCATTTGGCTATGGCCATTACAAGAAATACAATTTTCAAAGACTTATAAGCTATACAGTCAATTTTCAGAGGCCCCCTTTTTTTTTGGAAATGCTTGAGAAGTAGGTCCTATTATTTGAATAAGGCACTATTCATGTTTAGGGTTGCATGCTCACCAACTTTCATTCAAATCAGAGACTCAAACGTCTGGCATTCTCCTTGTCAGTCAGGAACCTCAACTATGTAAGACTGAGATAGTTGGAAAAACATTCAGCACACTCCATAGAATCAACACTAAAGACCCTACACAGTAAGCATCAGAAAAAAAAAAATCGATACTTTTACTGTTTGATGACATATTGAAACTTTTTCTTGAAGATAAATTTTTTATTACAATATATAACCTAACTCATTTTGCTCAGTCTTAAAACTAGTCATTTCATACAGATTTAAATATTATCAAAATTCTATCTATTATTTGAATTGATTATAAAAACAATACTTTGTTTTAGCAATATCTTTTCCATCACTCTCTTCATTCTCTACTTCTTTCTGAACTGCTTCTAATTGTATGTTTGAAGTTCGTTTTAATTCCTTTTTGGATGTTTTCTTAATATCCTAAACATATTTAAATAATCAAAATGAATTATTCTACTATTACTATTATTACTAATATAAATTATTATTATTATGAATAATTTGACTATTAAAAATTCAACTACATTATCTATTTGAATCACTGAATTTATGCAGTTGAGATGATAAATAATGATCTCATTTTTTCTTATTTTCCACTGACCACTGAGTAAACAAGAATTTTTTAATGCAGAAAGATGTTTCATTATCCATTGTTTTAACTTTTTTACAAAATGCATTTCAGCCAAAAGTAAAAAGTAAAAGAACAATGCCATGGATAATAAAACATCTTTTTGGATGTAAAAACTTTTGTTTGCTCAGTGGTCAATGGCAAATAACAAAAAATGAGATCATTATTTATCATCTAAACTGGACTGATTCAAATAGTTAAAAGAAGCCAATATTTAATAAACTATTATAAATTTCTATTGTAGTTATATTTTATATAATTTTAAAATATACTTTACAATGTTGAAGTTGTACCATTTGATCATTTGTATTTCTTGTAATATACAAAAATTCATTTGGAATCAAAAGAAGAAATAAACAAAGCAGTATTTTTGTTGTTGGAAGATTGGAATCTTGCAATTTATTTATTTTTTTTTTACATTTTATTATAAAAATGAAATGTAATTTTGTGTTATTTATCTGAATAATTTAAAGATTAAAAATAAACAAGTATTAGTTCAAAACAGAAACCTACCAAAATGAAAAAGTAATAAATCAATGCCATGATATTATGGTTTATGCAGGTTTTACTGTATTTTAATATTAATTTCTGATATGTTCTTATGTAACAAAAAACAAATCTTCAAGACATTCCACATACTGATTAATCAGTTCTAATTTAGCAGACTAAAAACAACTGCAAACTTTTGATATTCAATCAATCAATCAAATCTTTAACTAGCATAAAGGAATAATTCCCTGTTGCAGGGGGTAATACATAAATTAGATGAAAAATTCACAAAAGTATTAGAACAATTTTTTTGTAAATTATTTAACATGTACAATTATTTTTTACAGTAAAAACCAAATAGATCTACTCTAACAATATACAAGAAATGCAGTTTTAACTAATGTATCCTTACTGGAACTACTACATTTTATACAATGTTATTACACATTAAGTTTTACTATCTTAAATTTCTTTGCATTTCCATAATTTTAATAAAGTAATTACACAATTTAAAGATCTTTTTTTGTTAAGGTTGTTTAAAATATTTCTAAAATCAAGAAATGAGCTACAATGAAATATCCACAGAATATCATGAGTCATGCATGCTTGCAAGTCCCTGGCAATTCTGCAACAAGTGAAGCATTGAAAAATCCTTAGATTTACACCAAAAGCACTCAGTGTTTTAAAAATTAATATATGAGTTACCAATAAATAGTGAATATTTGTTGAGTTGTAGTTGGGCTATTAATCTTCTCACATTAATGTTTATTGATTTAGTTATATATGTTTAAGATGATGGTATATTTAATATATTTAAGTCCAAGGAAGATAGTTACTTTGACTTAGATTGTCTTGGTCCTTATTTATGGATTGTGAAATTGCAGAATCTAACAACAGTGATGTAGCCATATTTCCAATCTTGTATATTTTTTTAAAACAACAAATCTGACACTCCGAATGAATTCAAAATTTATTAAACTTGGTTTGCCAAAACTGATCGGTTTTTAATTTTTACTTTGTTTGTTTGTTTCCTGGTGTAAAAAAGTTATATTGTTGTTGCTTCTGAATTTTAGCTGTAATAAAATTTAATTATACGTTTCAGAAAAAAAGGAAAAAACTAGATACAATTGGTTTCATGGTGAATGGCATATCCAGGAATGCTTCTTTCTAAATAGAGTAATCTTCAGAGGAAATAAAAATGAAAACATTCTAATTCAAGGGTGGGCAACCTTTTTTATAACATGGGCCAGAATAAATTTTACGTTTTTTCCGCGGGCCATAGTAGTTAATTGACACCTTGTGACCTGTAAATTTTTAGTCTGAAAATATGAAATAAATAAATAAAAAGAAATTAATTACTACAGTCGACCCCCCTATAACACTGTTGATTATTCCGTTTTATATGAATTCCATGTTGTATGAGTCACTTAGATTTTACAAATGCGTGTGCCGGGCTGTGAACGGCTCACCTATTTGTAAAATCTAGATGACTTTAAACACAATAAAAACAGCACTATGTAGTTGGATACGACAAACATTATATTTTCTAATTGCATAGCTTTTGCACATAGATTTTCTTGATGGATGACGCGATGAGATATAAATAATTTAGAAAAATTCTGTTTTCCCATTTTTTGTTTGAATAAGGAAATGACTCCCTTATTTTTTCCTGTCATTGCTGTTACAACACTTCAGAAAATAATATTCAATTTAAACTAGACGAATTACATCAAAAAATATTTATTTATAATTTCTTCTAAACATCTCGCGGGCCAGATAGAAACTTTTCGCGGGCCGTAGCTGGCCCGCGGGCCGGGGGTTGCCCACCGTTGTTCTAATTTATATAAATAGTCCAGTCCCCAAACTGGGCTTGTATAATGAATAATTGGGTTAATTATTGAATTATATATGTAGGCTGTTTTTTTTCAAGCTACAATCGTCCATAAAAAAAAAAAAGAACAGACAAGCTTTTCCATCCCCTTGTCAAAGAATATTGCCACCAATGACTTGAGATGGGCCCTAAGGTTGTTTTAAAGATTGTCATTAGTCTTGAACCTCTGTCCTCCTAATCATTTTTTCTGTTCAGGAAAGGTGGAAGTCACTCGGCGCTAAATCGGAGCTACACGCTGGGTGTTTAAAGGTGGTGAAGACTTTCACCCAGCTTAAAACTTTTTAATGTGTGAAGACTTCCACCTCCTTCCTGAACTGAAAATGTGGCTAGCAGGGCAGAGGTTAGAGACTAATGATGATCTTCAAAACAAAGTTAAGGCCATCTCAATTCACTGGCAGCAACATTCTACAAAGAGGGGATGGAAAAGCTCATTCACAGATATGACAAATGCTTCAATCTTCATGGGGATTATGTCGAAAAGTAACCATGTATGTACCCAACTTTTGATGATAAATTCATTTTGTTATTTACACTTGTCTTTGTTTTATGGATCATTGGAGCTTGAAAAAACCATCCTCATAGTTTCATGTGTATGTATAGATTCATTGTTTTTAAAGCTGAGCTTAAGAACAACAGCTTATGAATAGCTTGCTTCACTTTATTATTTAACTTGGAAACATGTGCTTTAAAAGTGATATTCCAATCAAATGTGACACACAAAAAATTAACTTCCTTTACTGTTTGTAGCAAAGATTTATAAAGATATAGTCTAGATTGTTTTTCTGAAATTTTACTATTGTTTCAAAAAATGAAAATTTTTTGTTTTAGTAGGATTTATTGTTTAATGAATTGATTTAAAGTATAAATTCAGTTGCTTAATTTTCCTTTGCAAAGAGATTTTAGTTGGAACCAGAATTACAAGGTCACTGGCAAATAAAATGTAATGAAAGACAGTTACCAATTTCAATACCATCAGTTGAATTTTGAAAAATTTCATCAGACCTTTATAAGGTCTGATGAAATCTGCATGTTCTGTCAATCTTCAAGCAAATTTTGTTGTTTCTTTTTTATAAAGGCAGTAATAACTTGATCCCAAATCTGATTATTTCTAAGTGTTAATCATATAACTGGGTTAAGTGACTTGGTTAATTGAATTATATCTAAAATGCCTTCCTGTGACACAAATTGTAAGTCCAATATCAATTTTATAAAATTATAAATTTCTAGTTTTGAGATGTTTTTCGAAGTAAGATAGTTGTTCAATATTATATTATTATTAAGATGAATTTTTTTGACTAAAGCATCTATTTTGAATTGCATAAGTTCTTTTTCCATTTTTAAGTCATCAATTTGTTATTTCAGACTATTAATTTGTCTTTCCATTTTTTGATACTGTTCTTTAGTTTCAAGAATGCTATCATGAATCAGATCAAGACCATCTTTTATGGAAGTCATTTGATTAGATAGTCTTTCATTGGAGGTATTTATAAATCTTAGATTCTGTTCCATAAAACTGTCATTGAAGTGTCTGATGATTGCTTAGGTTGGTTAGTGAAGTAAAGCATAATACATTTGACTCATCTGGGGATTTCTGTGGACTGTGATACTATGTCCATATGAGGATCAATAATGGCTAAGGATGATTCCTGTGAGCCTTTATCCACATATAAATTAAAATCTGTTACGAGTTTGGTATTAGTCGTAGTTGATTGGTCTTTTCTGCTGCCCAGTTTGTTTTGTTTAGTGGTGGTCTTCCACGCTTTACCTGTAAATGTTGCATTTTAGCTGGAATTTGACTTTCTCCAAAGGACAATAAGTCATATTAAATTCTATTCACATTTTTACAATTTAGAATAATTAAAAATTACAAGTTCACAAATTTCCTACATGTTGAAGTGCAGAAGAAAAATCACCAGCAGCCTCAGCAGTCAAGACATGCCTCCCAAACTTTTGATATTTAGAAATAGAGTTTTCAATTAGTAAAAAGATCAACAAATCAAATTTTGTAAATGGAATTTTAAATTTTATATTTCTCAAACATTTGATTTATTAATCAAATAATAATAAATAATCTTAAACCAAATTTTCATTATATTCTATCCTATTAATTTTTGTTTTAATTGTTGTTAAATTCTAATAAATTCAAAGCTTTTATTTTGAAATAATGCTTAACTAATGAAATAATTGCTCTATCTAATTAGCATAAATTACAAACATTTAAAACTTACATTTTTCAGCTTCTTATCCAGTTTTTCGTTATCTATTTTTTCATTACCTTTTTCACTATCTTTTCCTTTTCCTTAAAAGATAAAATTAAAACATTACATAAATTATTATTATTATTTAAATAGGTAAATATGATGGAAATACTATTAAATTAAATTACATCATCTCATGCTAAACCTGATTTAATGCTTATATTGTAAATTACTCAATCAGATATACCTTAAATCTGTAGCAACCTTATTATTAAACATGCTCAAAAATATATTTATTAGACAATATTTTCACTATTATAAAAGAGAAACAGTTTATATTCTTTATTATGGTTACACCTTAAAATCTAATTATTTTTTTTATTAATTAAAACAACACATTTATTTCTTGCTGATATATTAATAGTCAATATTAAGACAACCATGTATGTACCCAACTTTTGATGATAAATTCATTTTGTTATTTACACTTGTCTTTGTTTTATGGATCATTGGAGCTTGAAAAAACCATCCTCATAGTTTCATGTGTATGTATAGATTCATTGTTTTTAAAGCTGAGCTTAAGAACAACAGCTTATGAATAGCTTGCTTCACTTTATTATTTAACTTGGAAACATGTGCTTTAAAAGTGATATTCCAATCAAATGTGACACACAAAAAATTAACTTCCTTTACTGTTTGTAGCAAAGATTTATAAAGATATAGTCTAGATTGTTTTTCTGAAATTTTACTATTGTTTCAAAAAATGAAAATTTTTTGTTTTAGTAGGATTTATTGTTTAATGAATTGATTTAAAGTATAAATTCAGTTGCTTAATTTTCCTTTGCAAAGAGATTTTAGTTGGAACCAGAATTACAAGGTCACTGGCAAATAAAATGTAATGAAAGACAGTTACCAATTTCAATACCATCAGTTGAATTTTGAAAAATTTCATCAGACCTTTATAAGGTCTGATGAAATCTGCATGTTCTGTCAATCTTCAAGCAAATTTTGTTGTTTCTTTTTTATAAAGGCAGTAATAACTTGATCCCAAATCTGATTATTTCTAAGTGTTAATCATATAACTGGGTTAAGTGACTTGGTTAATTGAATTATATCTAAAATGCCTTCCTGTGACACAAATTGTAAGTCCAATATCAATTTTATAAAATTATAAATTTCTAGTTTTGAGATGTTTTTCGAAGTAAGATAGTTGTTCAATATTATATTATTATTAAGATGAATTTTTTTGACTAAAGCATCTATTTTGAATTGCATAAGTTCTTTTTCCATTTTTAAGTCATCAATTTGTTATTTCAGACTATTAATTTGTCTTTCCATTTTTTGATACTGTTCTTTAGTTTCAAGAATGCTATCATGAANCAAGAATCTTTCTGTAACTAACTTAATCTTTTCATTAATGAAATATACAGAACAATCAATGATAAAATCTTTCACCTAAATAAGTATAATGATTTTTTTATGGTTATTACACCATAAAAAAAATAGCCTTACAGTGAAAAATAAATTTGTTTAAAATTGATTCATGTAGCAATTAATATAAATAAGACAAAGCTATTATTATCTTGTGTAAGTGCAGAAAAATGTGAGTGTAGGGATGTAAAGCTTAACATTAGAGATACTAATGGTCTCAGATGCATTTACATACACTCATAACCTGTATGCACTATGAAAGTTTTGAGAATCATGCAATGATAAAGTTCTTGACAAAAGATCATCATAGGCCATCAGAAATCCACAAACACTTTTGTAATGTGTACAGTGATACTTCTTTGTATCTAATGATAAAACAAAAGACAAAACTTTTTAAACTTGGAAGAGAATCTCTCATGATGACTCACACAGTAGATGCCTGGCTGCAGTGATCACTGAAGAAAGCATTGTACTTTCCAAGGATGATCAACGTCTGAAGATGAAAGAAATTTCTGTGAGATTTGAACTTGTCTTCTTCAAATTCTTCTTGAACATTTTTTATAAACAAGGTCAGTGCAAATTGGCTGACTAAAATTCTTTCTACAATTCAGAAGAAATAGTGGGCCAACTGCATTCATCAGTTTTTGGAGCTCTGTGAAGAGAACATTGTAGTAGTTCTGCAGTCCATTGTCATTGGGGATGAGGCCAATGATCCTCTGTTCAAAAATGAATCTCTCTTATTATTTTGGCTAGTTTTTCTGGAAAGCTCTTAACAGCTTTTTCATCTGCAGATGCAATTTACCCTTTAATTTTAATATTGTGAAATGCATTTCTTTTTAAGAATCCTGCCAGCCATCCTTCACCAGCAGAAAATTCCCTTTTTTTTTTCTTTTTTTTAAATCTTGAGTTGCTTGAAGACTTGATAGTTCCAATTTCTGTAATTCTTAATCTAAAGCTCCAAATAGTTAGAAAAATTTTTTCTAAGATTTTTTCTAATGTCTACTGTACAATGATGTTTTTGAGCTTGGTTTTGATCCACAGATAAATTTTTCATATAGAATTCTCATTTCATTTAATTGTTCTGACAGCTAAGCTTCATTCAAGCCAAAACTTTTGCCCACAGATATTGAACCTTTACCACTCACAAGGCAGTCACAAGATTTTTATTTTTGTTTCTAATAATATGGCTTTCTTTACTCTTTTCTTTGTAATTTTAGACATTTCAAACTTGTAATCTACCATAAAAATTAATATTTAAAATATTTTAATTAGACTACACTTGAAAATTAGACATACTGCAAACTTACTAAAAATAATAGCTAGCTTTTTATTCTTTAATACACCTAATATAACAACCACTTCACTCTGACAAAAATGTTGAGCTAATTATACTTCAAAAAATGAATTGATAGAATAATGCAATATGTGAAAGCCTTACATGAACTAATGAATTACTTTTCATCAATTCTCTTTCTTTTGTTTCATTTGCTCACATCAATGATAATTTATTATTTTATTATTATTTTTTTACTTTATTAAATTTTAAAATTGTCAGAGTTTTTCCTTTGACCATGTTATTTCAAAATCATGCAAAAAAGACCATGTGAAAAAAAAAGTTAGGTGTACAACCCTGATGCAAGTGAATTTCAGACAGTCATGAAAACCATCATGATGAACTACTTGTTGCAGCCATTGCATGCAGGCAACTGTGAGATGGACCTTGTTAATTTCATGTCATGCAAAGATCAGGTTAAATGGATAAAACCTAATAGTGAACTCAAACTCAACACCAGCAACATGAAAAGAATCCATGGAAATGTTTGAGGATTTATCCTTGGATGACCAAAATACAAGGAGCTGTGTTGCTAGTTGGAGAGTACCTCATGCACAATGCAGAGAGCATTTGTAGTACCACGAAACTTTGAGTGATCCTGGAGATATTCTCCTGGAAATGAAGTGCTATGAAAATGCCAATGTTATGCCCCTCTGAATTAGCAGGAAATTTTAGGTAACACCTGTAAAATGCTTTCATGTAAAAATTTAACAATATCATTATACAGGGTAAACAAAATGTCAGGGCATGGTTACTATAATATGAATGTATTCCAAAGCATGTAGAAGTTTTTAACTAATGTGTAATGAGTTCACAACAGAATATATGTATGCACTTATTAATGGCAAGGTAAAAACTGCAAATAAACTGTTATGAAACAAAGTTCCAGGAAAACAAAATAAAAAGACCAAAAATTTTTTACATACATGAACGAGAATGTTGTACTGTATCATGTTTATTTTGTTTTATTAACGTATCAAATAAATATATTATTTACAATTTATTAATATTGTATTCAGGGCTCCTACTCAAATTTTTGTTTTAATTTCCCTGACCAACTCTGTACAAATTTTCTGACCCTCATGTCCCTTATGGTATGGCACATTAACAAAATAAAACATCACTTAACTTACTATGCACATGTGCTATTGCTTCTCCAACTTTTTAACAGGTTATTTTTTCTAATTAACAGTTACACATTTTTTTATAATCGATGAATTAGTAAAATGAAAAATAAAATAAGAAAGACAAAATTATGGCATGTCTTCTCTACATAAAACTAAAATGTTTTATTAAATAATAATTTATCTTGTTATTAACTCATAACTGTAAAACTTCATGGCTTTGAAAAAAAGCAATTAATTATTATTAAAAAATTCTGTACAATCCATATACAAAAGTAAAAATTTATTAAATTTGTTCCTTAACAAATTTTCCAAACTTTATAAAATATTAATAAACTGGGAAAAAAGTTTCAGATATCAGAAATTGTTTTGTTCTGCAATTAAAAAATATTATACAGAAAAATGATAAATAGTACCATTTGAATTAATATCAAGTTATTTATCATTTTGGTTCTTTATCATCATTTTTTCCATCAGTTCATTAACATCTGCCCTCAAATTGAAAGTGTAAAACTGCAAGAGAGAAAAAATTTTTGAAATATTTTAACTTTCTATCAACATTAGATTATTAAGAGTATATGATTTTTCTCTCAAACTTATACTGAATAATTAATACAGCAGTTTTAAAATCTAAAAGTATTTTAAAATTTAAAAATAACAATTGATATTGTTGTATGCTTGCATATTTTGTGTGCTATAATTTTGGGGAAATTTTGTGTTTGTTTGGGTGAAATTTTGGATTCTGAAAATATTCTGCACCCCCTTTCCATAAGTTGCATTGTACCACAATACTTCTTGCTGCCTGCAGACAGCTACACTTGGTCAGCCATACTATCAGAAAACAAATTCAACAAGGCAACCAAGGAAAAATTCCGACTTTTTGACAATTTTTAACAAATTCCAGGAGCATAGAAACCCTGTGCATAAAAATATTATAAAAATGAGTACTCAAAAATTTCTACAGAATGTACTGTAGAGTCAAAACGATCAAACCAGACAAACAAAACCATTAGAAAGTGTCAATGGTCTTGGAAATCTATAAAATATAAGTAACAAACAGCATTAATTTGGCATCTTTTTTCAAGCCACTTTGAGTAATTAATCACTGGATAAAAAGTTCCTATGTTTGACATTAGGTTACATCAATTATTTGTCACTAATAGATGAATTATAGATTAATATATTAAGTTTAAAATATATCATTTAAAAGGAACGTGCTCAGCAAAATAAAAATCTGCATCTTGTAAGGAGGCTTGTATTAATGCAAGGGATGCAGAAGGCCTTCCATCGGCCTGAAAGTATATTGTTAAAAAATCTGCAGGAAACTCATAATTTACACTTTAATTTTATTCTATTAGTAGATACTTATATTTAATAGTATTTCTGAGTTTATTTTTATTTTATTCTTTGTTTTTATTATATTTTTTGTACATTACTAATATATTATCTTTTTAATCCACTGTCAGTTTTTTGAAATTTGAATATTTGTATTCAATCTTATGGAACGGAATCTTCCAATTGTCCGTTTTAAACCTGACAATGGCCTATGGAATAGGTTGAAAAATGTTTGTTTAAATTAAATTTTCTTGGCAATGATAAAGGTGTTTGGTTATTAATTTATATTAAGTTTAACATTAATTATGTTGAGAAGGTAAAAACTGCTATGCTACTCCACACCATTAAATGGCTGGGCAACAGCTATTCATGTCAGCTGTCTTTGATGTTGAGAAGTTTCATGTATTAGTATATATATATAGTATTTAATGTCATAGAGTAAATATATCTAGAGAATTCACTTGGAAAATACAAAAAAATTTTGTAGACATTAGCGCTCAATTGGCAGCTAACTGAATTAATCAGAACTGCCAGATATTACGTGAAGATCATGTGCAAGTTTTGAGTCACATGATTTAATGTTTGTGTGGTACATGTGGTTTGGTTTAGACAAGAAACCAAAACCAGGTCTTGTTTTAACTTTCAAGATAAAAGACAATGAATCGCAAATGACAAAAAACAAAATATAATTGAAAATATCAAGTGTAAGAGTAATATTAGCTGAACTATACTTAGTTTGGGATAGAAATTATTATTATTGTTAACTTTGTTATTATCATCACTGTTATTAAAAACACAATGTAACTTTATCAGGTTTATTTTGCTAATAAACATTATAGACTGCTGTTATTGATATTTTATTTCATTTTTTAAATAAAAATTAATTTTTTATGAGCATTAAAGGAATTACGTGTAGAAAAGCTGATTACTTTTTAAATTTTTATTTGTAATATATAATGGAATATATAACAAATCAATTATTTTATGTATTAAAAATATATAAATTTATAAAGTTTGCTATCACCGTGATAAAATATCTTTAAAAATAAATTGAGGAATTTTGTAAAGTTATACTATTTACTATTTATCAAAAGTAATTAAATCAAGATATTAAGAATTAATAATAATCATAGTCATGTGATTTGTTAGAAGTCAAGTGTGAAGGACATCAAATATTATAATTGTGACCTATAGATAATATGGAATACATTTCAATATTCAACAACTGGCTCAACAGTGAGAAAATGACTTATCTAAATGGATTGTTGAGTTTTCTGTTGAAGCCCTTGATGCTGACATCACAGGCTTCAACAGACAACTCAATAGACTTGTGACAGACATTGTCTCTCATCTTTAGGAGACAATGTCTATGTCACAAGCTAGTCGCTGATTGGCTAATCATTTGTCTACATCTCAAGAGATTATCACATCTCTCCAAATGCAATCTTGGACAACTTTTCTCTTAAAAATTCTCTTGTCTCCCAGAGATGAGCATGTATTCTTTTTACGTCCAGTGTTTTTTCTGTAGCCTCGATTTCATTACATCCAATATGGACAACTGAATGCTACTCACCTTATACAATCATTTTAGGGAATGTTCTCTATCTCAGAAAAAATATATTTTGAGATAGAGATAATGCTTTTGAATTTTTTTAAAGCAACTACTCAGAAATGCCATTGACTCCATCTTTTTTTAATGATTCTACATCAATTACTGAACCATTGAACATGCTGTTAATCTTATCTGTTACTTCCATCCATCCCTCTAAGTATTTTTCAAAATATTACTGATATCTAATTTCTTAACTAAATATACATGATTTTCTAACTAACTTAGGTTATTAAAATTTCTATTTGTTAAGAGAATGTTACTCGTGACTTTACAATCTGTAAAAACATTATGAAACAAAAACATCTCTGTCAAAATTATGTGCTTTGTTTGAACTGTATGCTTTCCTTATCAGGTGGAGAAAATAAATTTTATTTTTAAAAAATATCAATTACATTCTATTTTTCTTAAACTTTGAAAAAATTCAATTAAATAAGAATACTGTAAATTATATGTCTTTGTTTTATGGATCATTGGACCTTGAAAAAACCATCCTCATAGTTTCATGTGTATGTATAGATTCATTGTTTTTAAAGCTGAGCTTAAGAACAACAGCTTATGAATAGCTTGCTTCACTTTATTATTTAACTTGGAAACATGTGCTTTAAAAGTGATATTCCAATCAAATGTGACACACAAAAAATTAACTTCCTTTACTGTTTGTAGCAAAGATTTATAAAGATATAGTCTAGATTGTTTTTCTGAAATTTTACTATTGTTTCAAAAAATGAAAATTTTTTGTTTTAGTAGGATTTATTGTTTAATGAATTGATTTAAAGTATAAATTCAGTTGCTTAATTTTCCTTTGCAAAGAGATTTTAGTTGGAACCAGAATTACAAGGTCACTGGCAAATAAAATGTAATGAAAGACAGTTACCAATTTCAATACCATCAGTTGAATTTTGAAAAATTTCATCAGACCTTTATAAGGTCTGATGAAATCTGCATGTTCTGTCAATCTTCAAGCAAATTTTGTTGTTTCTTTTTTATAAAGGCAGTAATAACTTGATCCCAAATCTGATTATTTCTAAGTGTTAATCATATAACTGGGTTAAGTGACTTGGTTAATTGAATTATATCTAAAATGCCTTCCTGTGACACAAATTGTAAGTCCAATATCAATTTTATAAAATTATAAATTTCTAGTTTTGAGATGTTTTTCGAAGTAGGATAGTTGTTCAATATTATATTATTATTAAGATGAATTTTTTTGACTAAAGCATCTATTTTGAATTGCATAAGTTCTTTTTCCATTTTTAAGTCATCAATTTGTTATTTCAGACTATTAATTTGTCTTTCCATTTTTTGATACTGTTCTTTAGTTTCAAGAATGCTATCATGAATCAGATCAAGACCATCTTTTATGGAAGTCATTTGATTAGATAGTCTTTCATTGGAGGTATTTATTAAATCTTAGATTCTGTTCCATAAAACTGTCATTGAAGTGTCTGATGATTGCTTAGGTTGGTTAGTGAAGTAAAGCATAATACATTTGACTCATCTGGGGATTTCTGTGGACTGTGATACTATGTCCATATGAGGATCAATAATGGCTAAGGATGATTCCTGTGAGCCTTTATCCACATATAAATTAAAATCTGTTACGAGTTTGGTATTAGTCGTAGTTGATTGGTCTTTTCTGCTGCCCAGTTTGTTTGGTTTAGTGGTGGTCTTCCACGNTGCCAGGCATGCACTTGCTAGTTGTACCACTGGAACCCAAGCAAGCCTTCACTTCCAGATGTATTTAAATTTAGATATAACCTTATGCATTTAACCACGGTGCCAGCTGGAAATGACTTTTACCCAGCAAGACATATATATACCTCATTGGGTAAAACATTAGCTAACTAAGTGCCATTGTGAAAATGTACTTAGGCCATGGGCATAGGAGTCGTCCCAGCTGATGCCGTGATTAACCACAACAGTTATATCTAAATTTAAATATATCTGGAAGCGAAGGCTTGCTTGGGGTCCAGGTGGTGCAACTGGCAAGCAGAGGTTGCAGGTTCAAGCCCCACCCAGGGCCAGTTCTTTTCTTCTAGATCAGTGGTTCTTAACCTTTTTAGTGGTCAGCACCCTTTGAATCTGAAAATAAGCTCTTGCACTCCCTTAAAAAATGTGTGTATATTTTTTTATTTAAGAAAAAACATTTATTGAATAAACAAATGCTGTGTTAATTTACAATATATATTACTATATAATATAAAAAGCAATATTTAAATTTTAATGGCTAGTTTGTTGTTGTTTATCCATAATAATTCTATTAAAATGAGGCTCTTTTTTTGAAAGAGCCACATGTAATTCATCACATACATTTAAACGATTTCTGGCTTTTGTTTTGATGTGCAAAAGTGCTGTATTCAAGGTATGCAAACACGTCTCAACTAGTTTCTGTACTGCACATGACAATGTGTCTACATTAACTGCATTTACTGACAAGTGCTATGTGCTGAGAGACGGTAGATCAGAGAGTGTAGAAGTGAGACGGTAGAAAATGAAGAAGTGGGGTGCCATGTGGCTGGGTCCGACAGTTTGTAGAGAATACATCGCCTCGTTCGTATTTTTTTTTTCTTTTAAAAAGTTTTGAAATTCCTCTCACACCTCTGGAAATGCTCTCTCACACCCCCAGGGGTGCACACACCCCAGGTTAAGAACCACTGTTCTAGATGATTCTAAATTATTTAATAAATTATTTAAATTATAATTATTCATTTAAATAAAAAAGAGATGGCACCTAACATATACCTCTAATAGCAAATTACTTAGTATTAATTATTAAAAATACCTGATTTATAGTCCAAGTATTTAAGGAAATCATTTGGATAAGTAACATACTACAATATTATAATATTATAACATTTAAATTCAACTATCTTATTGGATATAATTTCAGATTTATTGTTAATGTTAAAGCATCTAAATAACAATTCTAATCATATAACTGAATTCTCAGAAAATTATTCTTTTTTACAAGAAATGCATAAAACCTCATTGCTGCATAATGGAATAAAAATTTCTATTTAAATTTACATTGTACTGTTCAAATATTCAAAAATCATGATCAAATAAGGTTTAATTTAAATTTTTGAATTTTGCTTGAATTTATTTATTTAGTTGTAATAGTTTATAATGTTATAAACTACTTTTTATAACATTATAAACTATTTTTTTAACTTATGAAGAAAAAAAATTTTACAATTATTATTATGCTTTTGTCCACTTTGGATATTTTTGTAAACTAGACTTGTTATATTGAGGGAAGAGAATCACATAATTTCAAACAAAAGCCTCTTTAATGTAACTTGGAGTAAGTAACATTAAAGAGGCTTTTGTTTGAAATTATGTGATTCTCTTCCCTCAGTGTAACAAGTCCTAGTTCACAAGAACATTCAAAGTGGACAAAAGCATAATATAAGTAATTATGGACAAGAAGCACTTATCAAAATTTTACAACTTTTTTTAGCAACAATTTTTAATGTTTTCATATTTGAGTTATGGAAATTTTAGTAATTTTCAATACTAAAGCAAAATTCTAAATCCTTTAAAAAATGAGTTGTCTTTTATTTGAATTCAAAATATAATGCAAATAATACAATAGTAAGAATTTAACCTATGATAATGTACAATAATTCCCATTAAGAATATCCCATTCAAAATAATTTTCTATGTAACATGTTGAAATTATTTAGTCCTGTAATTATTTTCACATTATACTATATCTATCTAGCATTCATGTGCATTTTCAATCTTATAATTATAGCAGATTTATTACTTGTATTTACAAAACTTTGCAATTTGACATAATAAAATTAATAAATCCTTTTCATATATTTTCTCAATTAGTAAATTTAAACTATCTAATTCCTTTGAAAAATGTTCTTGAACAAATTGTTATACAGCAGGCTATGCTAGAATGAATAAGCAGTTTTTTTAATCTAAAAAATCAAAATGTTACAATAAATGTGACTGACATAGCATGCACATGTGCATACCATGTCAAGATTTTTCCACTTTCATTAGAGTATTAGTCACTGTCTCTATTATAATTTGTAAAGTTGAAATATCTGTTTATTTGTATCTTTCTTTATCCATAAAAATATATTTTTTAATTCTCTGTGTTAAACCATGCCCTCCTTTATATTATATTTTGACACACTATGACGTTTTCATACTAGACTTTTTCACATCCACTTTATTTTCTTATGTACTTTACAGTCTTTAAACTAATTGTTCCAAGCGCCAATATGCATTTCGGGCTGGTTCCCCTCATCTGTTGGTTGATACACATTCTCCACAATGATTTTTATTGTATTGTTGCCATACATAAAACCAAAACACCACTGTGTACTGTAAACCAGTTAAAAATTCCTAAACTTCTGTATTTTTATCTAAATAACTAATTGCAGAGTTCCATTTTCTACATTGGATACAGTACCTACAATATTAGGGTAGATCATAAAATAAGTAGAGAAAAAAAAATTGCAGATTGATAAAATCAACTTTAACCCATTCTTGACGGCCAGTGTATAAATACACCGTTGTGTACACTGCAATTTTTAATGTTAATGTTTAATTAAACATTAAAAATACTTAAAACTGAAAAAAACGAAAGAAATGCATTAATTTTCAAGAAAAAGCTTCAAACTTTATTTTCCATTGTCTGGCCTTTCTGTGAAATTTGACACTGGTGAGTCATTGTTTACACAGCTGGATGACCTTGAACACAGCTGGAGTTGGATTTCCCATGACATTCTCATAGAAGTCTCGGTAGGTGATGGGTTTATAGTAGGGTGAATACTAGCTGGACATATATTTTTAAATATTTTTAAAAAATTAAATTTTTTATTGCGATTTCCAACCCCCCCAACTTAATTAAATGTATATATAATAAAATCTATTAATTAAAAAAATTAAAAAACTATTGGAGATCGTTTTTGACATCAGAAAGTAGCTTTAAATAACTTTACCAAAGTCAAATCCGTGCACTACAACTTTAGAACGATTAATTAATTTTGAAAATGGGATTTAAAAAATGCCATTAAAAAACAATTAAACCTTAATCGAGCCTTATCAAAGGCTAATTAAAGTCGTGATAAAAATTTTTTGCGCGGGTAAAAATTTTTGAAAAAATTTGGAGACTTAAAAAACATTCCAAAAATTAAAAAAAAAAAACAAAAATTTTTTTGGGGGGCCAAAAGGACCGAGTTTTATGTAACGCTATGTAACCTGCCCAAGTTAACTCGGGATATTGGTTTAAAAGGGTTAATCAAAGTAAGTGCCACACTTGTTAAGGCATTTGTCCTATCTTTCCACCAGGCAGTTAATGCCACACTTGAAGAACTGGTGAGCTGCTATGACAGCCAGTTCTCCACTGCATTCTTCACCTCGTCATCCAACTGAAACCAGTGCCCCTTCAAACCTCTTTTTAATGGATAAAAAAACACTGCAGTCACAGGGGCTGAGGTTGGGGCTGTGTCAATTCTGTTCAATGAGGTCATCAACCATTTAAACAATTCCAAAATTCCCAGTCACAGCTGAGGGTTATCGGTGGATTATCCTTCATCAATTGACTGCCACCTGCAAACTTCCTACACCATTGAGAATCATCATTTTCCCTTTCAGGGATCAGTCTTCCCCACACTGCTAATGCATAACGGGACTTTAGGTACTTTATTCTTAAAGTCCATACTTCTTAATTCAAGTTATAATGTTAATATAAAAGATAGAAATTACAAACTATTGAGCCACTCACTTAGGAAGTTGTTTTACAAATGAATATGAGCTACTTTGCTCTTTAATATCTTTCTTAGAAAGTTTAACTTCCTACACCAGTTGAAAATTGTGGTACATGAAAGGCTGTCTTTTCCATAAACCTCCTTCATTCTCTGAAAAATAGTGACTAGTTTTTCACCTTCCGCTGCCAAAAACTGTATTATGGCCCTGATGCACCTCTGGAGAAGTCCATGTTGTCAGTTTGGTCATCTGTGATTACAAACCAAAACCTGTAATGAAGCATTGCACTCTGATTATAGTTCAACATGCACCACAGCTTCTTTATATGCAGTGTACCCACAAAAAATAAATCTACTTATTTTATGATCAACCCTAATATTTCACATAATATTGGACAGCAGCCATATACTACTTAACACAAGTTTAGCATTCTGCGAGTCATCCCACAGACTGTACTTCCACATTAAGTAATTTGCATATATGCTGTAAAGTAAATATAAAAATAAAGTGAATGTGAAAAAGTCTAGTGTCTAGTGTCAACACTTCATAATGTCTCAAAATATAATGTATTTTTAAAATTATTCTGCTATATAATTTTTGCAATGAGCCAGCAAAATAAAATGAGAAAGCTAATTAACTTA